GATGCTGATGTACACGGTATTTAAAGAATATTTTGGTCTACTAACTACAAGTCTACTACTGTAACACAAACATGCTCAATTAACACATGAAAAGCTACAAAAACCAACCGCCTAAAATAAACATCCACTGACGACAAAGAGCCTCGCTCACCTAGTCCTAATTCCTGAACCAGAAAAAGCGCGGGCTACAGGCACGTGACATTTGAGTGATGTCATAATTGGCACATTATCGGTACTAAATGACCTATGACGGTAAAGAGAAGGATTAAAATATAGGAAACTTTGATCTCTGCAAAAAGTACCAGTACCGGTACCTCAATGATCAGACCACTACCCGTGGTAAATCCGCACCTACCGTACAGACCGTTGCTAACACAATCATCAAACTCAGACTCACGCTATTGCATACTTAACATACGTACCGCATTCAGTTTTCATACGCACGCAACCGATGCTGAGCTCCCAAACAGCTTAGCGTCCCAGCCGAGATGGGCGGCACATGGAAACTCGAAATCAAAAATGCTGCGCACGCAACCTGCCTCGTGGAGTTTATGCGGATGAATATTTGGACAAATAGGTCCGCTTACTTCCGGAAAAATAATATATAAAAACAATATCTTATCTTGTCTAATGCAATAGCAAAACAATCAGAATTTTTGGGTGATGAACCAAAATAATTTTAGAATAAAATTAATTCAAATTAATACCCAGAGCAAAATTTAGATGAAATTCTAAAGGAGTATTTAAATTTGCTTCGTGACTATATCGCATGCGTAGGTAGATAAATTCGTTTATTGGAAAGAATAGTTACTCGTAAATTAGAGGATCTTAGATTTTTTTACTTTTTCCAAGTATACTAATCTTTTTACTATTTTTCTGTTATATTAACTACTAACTGATCAGTGAAATTACTATTCATTAGTAAACTATTAACAAACAAGCACCCTGATTGGCTCAGCTAAGCAAGTCACGTGATTTTAATAAAATACTCTTGTAGAAAGTAAAATTCAACGAAAAATTAGTAAAAATTTACTAGAAAAATTAGTATATTTACTAATTTTTTTAACAGTGTATAGTATTAAATAATATAATACATTTTATTTCTTATGAAATTATTCGTACCACGAAAAATACATAATGCGTGGATTTATTTTTTCAGTGCAGAATATGAAAGTTTAAATAAAATTCTTACAAATAATGAATCAAATATGATGCATAATATCACACTTGGACACTCGAATAATTCTGATTTTGTCGCTACTTTTCGGTTAGATAGTATGATTTCCCAGAAATGTGATGAAAGCGTACAACGATTCCTTTCCTTTATAATGGATCGCCCGAAAACGGCGAAAAAAAGGGCAGTGTATTATAAACGCTCTGTAATGCTGCTATGAGTGCCGTTCTGTTTACCAGTTTCGAGACTGTGGTTCTAACGAGGCCATTAATACATATGTCAAGGCTTATTCAGTCGCCACCTTATTCGTTATACATGATAACGGAACCTGTTAAAGGACCTGTTAAATCCATTACACATTTCAAAAATCGTACTTTGTTTATCAGTATCCAGATCACAAAATAACATTGCGAGATTATTTATTTTTACTGACAGTCTACGATATTTTTTCGTTGATGAGAGGCAGACGATAGAGGATGCATTTGTTTTAATTATATATGTATGCATGATAACGGAACAAACATTTATTTCTGGAAATTTATGGTTATGTCAGTATTTACGAATTGGTGTCTGAAAGACTTAACACAATTTTATTTTGTAACAACACATGGTACAAGGAAAGCGATTCCTGTATGATATTTCGGTCTTTTCTTACAAGTTTCTTAGGGCTTTGTGGCTGAATTTACTGCGAACTGATCGTCATTGTTTGTTTCATACGTCGGATTCTCGTTATTATTCAGAAATTTGTATGAATATTATAATTTTTTCCAAGATCTTATCTAAATATACTTTAACTACGTTGGGCCTAGCAAAATATAACCGTAATACACCATCATTAAACATTTAAAAAAAGACAGATGTTTTCATACTTATTCATTCTCTTAATTAAAAACTTTTTGTCTTGTCGTTCCACCACTCTTGACTTTTAGAGCAATATTGATGAGGCAGATTAGCGGGAAAAGTTTCTTAGGTTGTTTGAACATGTTCAAGTGCGGGACATGAGCCGATATCTATAAAAGTCCATCCATGTTCACCTTTGTATTCTAGCGCATTTTATTATTAAATCAGTAATAAACAATTTACACGAAAGCAGAAGTTTTCGCAATTAGGAATGAGAAAAACAACATCATTAACGAGTGGGTGTAAAGGAGGTGTGATGAATCACCTATGACATGACCTATGTCGGTTATCAAAACAGAGGACATTATTTGAACGCATTTGCATTTCAAAGTTCATTGGAAACTTTTGCCTCGGAATGATCAGCTTCATCCTGAAAACCTGTTTCAGCATCCGAAGCAGTTTATAAACATTAAACACCCAATTTATGTACCTAATTATTGAAGGACTGAAAGAAATTTATTTAGTTTGATGGCGATAACTGGTTTCTGATTCTCTATTTAGTGGAAACTTTTTGATTTTCGCGCGCGTTTGTGTGTGATTAGAAAATTATTAATAAACAGATAAGAAACAAAGAATAAACTTGTCCAAAGGTCTGTAAATACGCGCGTGCCATTTACGTGTAATCTTTGTCAATCAATTCTGTGGAAATTTACATATTAATATTTGATCAAACTGGTGTTTCTACTTCGTTTGACATTGCTCAAAGACCTGTTAAATCCATTACACATTTCAAAAATCGTACTTTGTTTATCAGTATCCACATCACATAATAACATTGCGAGATTATTTATTTTTACTGACAGTCTACGATATTTTTTCGTTGATGAGAGGCAGACGATAGAGGATGCATTTGTTTTAATTATATATGTATGCTTCATATCGCACAATGTGGAACATTCATTGCAATTAGTTTTTTAAATCTATACAAAAAAAGGATCACACAGTTTTCTATATGTCTGACTAAAATGAAGCATTTATGTATGCTTAGTCATACTTGAACTGAGGGAGAAACACGCATGGCGAGGAAATATATCTGTAAGCCACACTTGAACTTTGTGTGTATTTGAATATAAAAATCGAATTACCACTGTTCCAATTTTGAACTAAATGTGAAGTATTCAAGCAAGAGTTCTCGTCCAATCACGATTTTCAAAACCTCAATTTTTAGTTCGTGTCTCCAACAATCTAAAATAAATGTTTTGTTACATACGGAAACTAGAAATGCATTGATAATCAGATAATCGCATCTACTAAACATAAACGATTACACTTTGTGGGGCGAGGAAACATTAATTAACAAATTTGAATGCTTAATCATTCTAAATGATTAAGATCTAATATAAAAATTGTAATTGTTGTTGTATTTCTACTGATGCAGCGTGGTTTTTATATTTTAAACATGTATACAGCATTGCGCGGTGGGAACATCTACAAAACAAGCTGAAAATACATTGCTTTATTTTAATTCTAAATACCCATGATAGACCGGATAAAACCAGTATTAGCTAGACCAGTGAACTTGTTATATAAAACTTAATAGGTGCCTTTTGATTGAAATGAAATAATTTTTGCTGTTTCATATTGGATGAAACAGTAACTGATGATTTATTGCATGTTCAGAAATTTTGATTGGGCTGTCCACCAAACTTTCTTTTATTATATGAATTACTTATATTGATGCCGAGATACTTAAAAACATTCAAGTCTTTAGACCTGTTCATGTTTTCCCATGTTTATCCTTTTGACTACTTTTTTTACTTAAATATAGTAGATTTCCGCTGACAGTGATAACCAATCCATAAATGACGACTCGCATTGTATTCTTATATATATATTTGACTATTTATATTCATGATAAGTTAAACTCACATTGAGAAAAAATCCGATTGGTCCTACAAAATCAGAAATACAGAATTTAAATATGATTTATTCAACTTCAACACCAACATCAACCGTTATATAAAATATTCGAATCTTTGTTTTCCTTCTATCATTAATCATGTTTTTTTTTATTTCGAGTATACCCCCTCTTTTTTTTAACAGTACGTGTAAATGTGTTCTGTGCTGATTCGTGGTAAATATTGAACTCTGTCCAAATATTTTTAGTTTCATCTAGTTGGTTAAACTTGAAAATTACTTCATAATTAAGTTTCCTAGCTCCCGCGACAATGACTTTGCATTAATTTGAGCTTGTGGTTTTCTTGTTTTAAGTAAACTTCAACTTCAACTTCAAGTTAAATGTGATTAAAAAGTCAATGCATTCTTACATGACTTTTCAAAACTCAAGAACACGCAGACAGGAATAACATTAAATAAGCATGATTTTAATGAAAAATAAAAATGAGACGTCAGGTAAAATATCCCAATTTATTTAAAAAATTTTCCATAATAATATATTGGAAAATAACTGATCTATAAATAAGGTCTATTGATATTCCTCTATCGGCTCAGGATTTCAATTACAACTAAAACTTAAACTTGTAACCACAATGGACAAGTGATCTCTATCTCGCCATTGAGTTCAACAAATCGGCTGAATTTTGTCTAACCGGAATGATGAAAGATATTCCAAACCTTAGTCGCTTATTGTATTAATCAGAGAAAACACTTCAAACTAACAGAAGAATAGGCCAATTTTTCCAACAGTTATTTGATGGGAGTTGGTCTCCGGGGTGAAATACGTAATTTATTTATACCGAAAAGAATGCATACTTTCACTCATCAACGACCGCGGATACAAATAACTTTGTGAGACGATACTGCACGGGCAAGTTTTTGTTGTGAAAAATGCTTGCAAATCATTGGTCGACGTTTTTATTCGGTTATGGTTAATGTAAAAGATTGATGTAAAAAGTATATAAATGGCATCAATTGAACCGTTCTGCCATTGCAAAGTATTCTTCCACCTTCTACGAATTCGAAAAAAGCGATCGAGACAGTAGCGACGGGAAAGATGATGCTTGTTCGACTTTCGTTTTTTTTCGCAATTTGTGCATTGGCGCTCGGCAACTACTATCAACCGAAAAAGTGCTACGTGAAAAAGGTTAGTATGTAAGATATGAATATTAAAACGGACTGTGTTATTATGAACTTCAGAAACTTGTTTTCAGCTGTCGTACTCGATTGAATGTTATATTTTATTTACTTTCTGTCAATCTACCTTCTTCAGTTATGTGTCAAGCTTATAACGTGTCGTATTTTTTTGATCGCATTGACTTTAAATGCGTTAGTCGCATTTAATAACGCGTAATGCACCACCTTTAATCTACATGGTTTCAGTAACCTTGACTTTTCTGTCAGTGATCGGCTGTAACCTTGCTTAGAGATGAATCTTCTTTACGCCAGAGTGAAAGCACCTGACTTTGGGTATCGTCTCTTTGGGAAAATAACAATTTGTATAATTTCTGAGATTAGGGTCATTTCTCGTATAAACAAATTTCTCATTTTTTTTCGTTATTTGCTACGGAAATATCATGCGACTGATGTCAATCATAGTCAACACATATTATGTCGTTTCTATTTTATATTTATGTCTAAAAACTTTGTTCAAATAAATTACACTTTCCAATAAGTGAATCTGAAAAAAAATCAAAGCATTTTGATACAATGTTAAAAATAGATTGCTTGTAATGTAATGCTCAATCGCTTACATTTATTCGTTTATGATAAAACCCAATCCCAACTAACAACTCTTATTATACATTGGCACAAGATTCTTTTTAATATTTGATTCTTATTTTTAACAAGCTACCTGATTGAAAGGTTGTAAGTGTAGCTAAAAATTTGTAATACAAATACAAAAAACATTTTTTTTAAAAGGTTAGTGAAAAGTTCTTCCACGGCTACGGCTATGGCAAAAGATATTCATCTGGTACTCAGAAAGCATACAGAAGATATTGCCGAAGTTTAAAGTTGTAAGTATCGATTATTTCAATCATTTTTGTTTTATAGTACTCGGGCACTGTCTTAATCTCAACTACGTAACTTCGTTCAGAAATGCTGTTTTGATAATAATGGGTTTGTTTATATAACTTTTCTATTTAATATTACTGGATGACCCTCAAAAACAGAACCCATATATTATTTCCTAACTACTCCTACGGAAATAAAATAAAATTTATTATATTTCGTTTACATTTGAACTTTTGTTTGTGTATGATTGTCCCCAGAAGTTTCAGTAATCTTGGGCGCTTTGCACAAAAGTTATGTTAACTATAAAATATGTTCCGAATGACCTTCCCAGCATCGGTGACAGAACTTGCAACTTTTGCGCAAAATTGTCACGCATGATTTTTGCTGCAATTGCACCCCTAAGTTCGCCAAGATTGTTCTAATACACTTGCCCTTCAAATATTCTCACTGATAAAAATCTGGGGGTTCAAACAGGTAAACGAAGTGTCCACTCAACGTCACACTTCCTACAGATCAGCCTTTGCTGATATCGCTTTCGTGAACAGTCAAGGGTGTGATCTGTGGGCTTTGCCCAATTCGGCCAATCCCCTTACGTTGCCAATTGTTGCTTTAGAACCTCTTGAGCTCAGCCACATAAGGTTCTGTAGTCACAGTTTAAATTTTTTTCTCTCTCAAAACGATGCAGACCTTTTATGCCATATTTGGAAATGACCACCTTCTTTTACTGAGTTTAACGGTCTCCAAAACGCCGAGTTGCTTTTAACAATCGCATATCTGATCAGAGCTAGGATCGGGAACTTGTCATGCGTAGAAGTGGTTTTGTATAATTCATAATAAACATGATTTGTTTAACATTTTTTCCGATATTGTTTGCAGCGCGCACGCAAAGCGAGGATATTGTCCAAATCCGAAACCAAATTTTGCATATTATGACAAATCTTGCCCCGACCAATCGTGTGATATCGATTTTTTCTACGCAACCAGTAGATGCCATGGCAAAGTGGAGCTTTCTAAAGTGTTCTCCTATAAGGCAAAAGAATGCGAGTAAGAATATTTTCATATTTGTAAGTGGAATTGATTATGAATTTTAAAAACAACAAGAAGAATTGTGACAATGCACTGATATTATACAATCTTTAAGAAATATTTGTGATTTTTTATATGGCATTGTCTACGACTCAAGTCAGAACATACTGAGCAAAATAAATACCTACATGAAAAAGTACCTACCCAAGTTAATTCCAGTGAATGTAGTAGACTTTGATAAAGCCTTCATATGAATCGCGATGCACTTGTATGTATAAGTTTAAACCAACTACTCATGCTCTGTGTTCGACAATTTCTCACTGAAAAAGTGGCAACAAGAAGCTAACGTTAGAAATAAGACATTCAAATATTACTATTCAAAAAAATATTAGATTTTTGACCAAAGGAAAAATCGTTGACATATTTGTTTCATACTTTATTTTAAATAGTTGGTACTGTGTATCGCGGTTGGAAATGTTTTTATAATCTCACACTATTCCATTATAAGTAAATAAATATCGGAAGACGCTATCGAAATTCTACTGCTGTAATTACGAAACCATATGGAGGTTCCGGCTTAAATGGGGTGAAATAAATCACAAAACAAAGCTGTTTGCAATTTTCCCTTTGGTCAAAAAATCCATGTTTCTTCAATATTAACTTCAAGCTTAACCGTTTCAGTGAGAAATTGGAGAACATAACGCAGGTGGTTTATATTCATATGTACACATGCATCAGAATTCAGATATATATAACGAGAATACCTGATATTTTTTCATGCTTGCAGATATTATCCTGGAAAATCGTGCCATCAGCTAAACGGTAGATATAAACGACGCACTGGAAGTTATGTTGGATCGAATTCATTCCCCCATGGATCGAATTCAGGTAGCTATGGATCGGATTCATTCCCACATGGATCGAATTCATTCCCCCATGGCTCGAATTCAGGTAGCTATGGATCGGATTCATTCCCACATGGATCGAATTCATTTCTTCATGGATCGAATTCATTTCCCCATGGATCGAATTCAGGTAGCTATGTACCGTCATCAGTTCCCCATGGATCGACTTCAGGTGGCTATCGACCGGGCTATCCAAAACCTATCTTCAGCAAATGCTATTGTTACACGAGCAAGTGCCTACATAAGTTTGTAGCATGCTATAAATACAAAGGCGTCTACTACCAGGACACCGTAAAAGTACAGGTGCGAATATACATTTTTGTGATATTCTAATTAAGCAACGTTTCGGAAAATCAGCCGGGTTTGTAGATAATTGATGAAACCACGCTGTCTCATCAGTTAGTTGGCAAATGAAATCATAATCTGGAACCACTTAAATCATATTGCTGCGACGAAAACGCAGATAATCCCGGCTCTCATGTTAGTCCTTGGTATATCGGTACTTCTGCTATAATATGTATAACCTCTAACGGCATGCTATCTGTTCCAGTAACATATTCTTGAAAAAACTCTCTTTTAACTTATTGTATTGTGTCTTCCAGGTGCCTTGCGGATGTTCCTGCTACAAAGGATCCAAGTCATGGAGATAGATTCCATATCTCCCGATTCAATACTATGAAACTGGAAAATATATTGGCTGATTAGAAATTTGATAAAAACCAATTATGTATTTTTCATGGAACTTCAGTGGTATCATCATTTATAACTAATTCACGCATATTATTAAAATGAAAAAATTTGATTTCGGATATTTGAAGATATTTGTTCATTGCTTCTGCTTGCTATACTGTATTTTGAATGGATAATAATAATTATGACTTATTCAATATAAAACGTCTTCTGGACCAGTGATTTCCTATGTGGGCGGTATCGCCCCCGGTGGACGATAACGCTACAGAGGGAGGCGAAAAAGTCGAAGGGGTGATAGAGGGCGATTTCTAGAAACCTGTTTTTGTTCGGCGCATCGTGCACTTGATTACTGTACTCTGTGTGCTTTCGTATGTTTGAATCACGTAGGCGATTATCACACGCGAAAAGATTGCTGGACTCATCTTTGCAGTAAGATGCGATCGTTTCCGTATCCCAGTGGTCGGCAAAATACGGCGGTTCCATTGTACTCCATTGAATGAACCGCCGACTATTGAGCCCGGAAAATTTTTCCCATACTTTACTATTTTAAAATTTTCGGTGCGTATTTTAAGAGTGGTTTGGCGAGTTGTTGCCTGTAAAACGAGGTATTTGTTTCAAACTATCATTCTAATTCATACCATTCAACAATCTGTTTTTTAAAGTAAAGAATTTTAGCCTAGTCTATCAAAGACATTTCTACACCAAATTTTTGCCTACTGTAATTAAACTGAAACTTCTGGGAAGACAAAGTGATCATTGACTTATTTTATTTATATTTAAATTTCCGAAAAACAACTAAAAGCTAACGAATATCATTCGAAAACGCCAAAATGAGGTAATTTTCACGACTATGCTTGAAAATCTGTATGAGTGAGAAATGTGTCTGAGCGGATGCAAAAGGGGACATTGTTACGTTTATTTTTGCATCGTGCTGAATGGCCAATGTCCTAAAGTAAACAAGGAAGTCTATGCCCGGGGAAACATCCAAACGGCGGATTTGGCGATGAATTAATTTTATTTACAATCTACGCTCGAGGAGTAAATTACATTTTTTATGTAACAGAATTTATCGTGAGGCACGTTTAGACAAAATTTTATTATATCCTTAAAATTATATTAAACAGCTTCTCGTTTAACGAGCCTACAATTCAATTATAATTAGACAATTGGAAACACGCAGAAAAGTTGATGCTGAGTGCAGGGGTTCAATAGCGCAGTAAATATTCGAATATATTGCAATGCAATAAGGAATGAAAATTCATATTCTATTCGAGGGATTCATCACTGCTTAATTTTTGTAAGAGTGTATCTTTTTAAAGAAAATCTTTATCAAAATTTGACAAACCATGCGATAATATTCATTTAGATGTTTGGAAGTACATATGTGTGCGAACAATTATTTTCCAAAATGAACATTACAAAGAACAAGCTAGAACTAGGATTGGTGATGCCAATTTAAAAATTTTTCCAATCTTGATGAATTTGTATAAACTACTGTAGGGGGGCGATGGTACAAAAAGTTTGGGAACCACTTTCTGGACGATAGTCTAACGGTAACCTAAAGTTTTCATTGCCGACAGATTGAATAACTCAGTAATTAACATATACAAGTGTCGTTGGTAGCGCTTCATCGCAACCCATCCACAGCATGTATATGGACTATAAAACCTGTGTATATTACTAGCTCATACTTACAAAATCTTATTTGGAAAAAATTGAATAGTTGGCTCGTTAGCTTATTAACACATGCTCGGCTGCAAATAAATGGATGGTTAAAAAAATCTCCAATTGATGCTAGAGATTAGGAAGATTAGGAAAGGGCTTCGTTTTGAAAGAGATTATTATCTGGTTAAGCTTTTACTTTATCTCTATAAAAATGTCGAGGGTAATATTGAGAACATAGGGAATATTCTGATATCTCGGCCCTACCCGGGATTGAAATAGGATCCTTCAGTCTGACTCTCACCCGACTGAGCTATCGAGGCACACCCACCCAAATTTGATGCACTCCATGTTTGTCGGTGCATATATAACAAATAATTCTATCTCGAATTGCCTGATATCATGTAGAAATTAAGTTCTTGGAGAAAACACTCTTTATGTCCAAAACTATTCCAACATTTAATTAATTGGTAAGTAAATGGTTATCGAGCAAAACGCAGTGTCTTACTCGTGGAACGGAATATAGAGTCGTGGCTTAAGTCATACTAACCTTGTGAAAAGTATCCCGATTTTAATACGTGGAGTACCATTCTGTCGTTACATCGTTTGATAGTGAGAGGGTCGCAAAAGCAAATAGTTTTTTTCTGTAGTAATTTTGTTTATTATTTAATATACAGTAAGTATTTCTTCCATACCTTCCTTTCTTCTATAAGTGTTTGGTATCAGAGCGTTGTCTTTCATTCAATTAGCGAAGCTTCACAGGAATGGTACGGGAGCCAATACACATTTTACATTTTCAGTGTGTGGGTTCTATTTTTTTGCTACAGCAAATACAAAAAAGCGGTTATTGCGGTTATTGGACACGAAATGGACCTATGGATCGTTTTTTTAAATTGTTGTTGTGTTAGTGTTTTTCTTGTTGTTGTTGTTTTTGTTGTTGTGGAGAAATACGATTTTCTTTTTAATTCCTGAACCAATTGCTTTAAAAAGTTTCCAGGGGATAAAGATTTTTGTTGTCACTAGACGGCTATCACTTTTGTTTAATTCAAAGATTTCTGTGGGCTCTATTGGATTCTTTTTTCACTCAGAAGTTTTGTGCGATGATCTCATCAAAATTGAAAATTGCACATTGTGCGGCGGTTCCGCGATCGCATGTCAGGAGTTTTTTGATAATGAAGACTACCGGTACTGCAGACGATTTGATATTAATTTGTTTTGGCCGTCGTGCCAATAAATTTGAGCATTGCGCTGTGATTGATTAAAAAATAAAAAGCTAATTATCACAACTCACGAGCGATGTAATAAATTACTACGATTCAAGCGTCATTCAGTGGCCGCCTTCCCATTTTGTTTGCGAGTTACGTGTGATGGTTCATTAATGCGCACAGCAATCGCTCGCATTTGTTACGTTTTGTTTAATTCCATAAGAATTTCAAGATATTTTAGTAGAAGGATGGGAAGTGATGAAAGTTAGAATTTTGAGAGCATTTTTCTTCTGGATCGAATTCACCAACAACAAGTTTCCTCATTTCAGAAATCGTATGTATGTCACTATACGTAAGCTACAATAACATGACACGTCACATAAATATGATACATAACTTTGGAAACGCCAAATATAGCGCTAGTCGCCAGCGGTGCACTCTAGCCATTTGCTGTAGCCGTCCAACGCTTAAAACGAAAAACTAGAACGGATTCGCTGATTGTCGCGGACTCGTTGATTGTCGCGGGTTCGCGGGACCCATGTGAATCCTTTGAATCCCGCCACTGGGGGTGGTTTGGTATGACATCATAGAATGGTTGTAGCTCTACACATTCATCTAGTTGTCCCCAAAGTGGGGTTCGCTGACCTTTTGGGGTTATAATGTACTGTTATATATATTATTTTATATGCGAACATATGCAAATCTCAGCAAGAAGTTTTCTCGCAATATTTATCATGGACTTGTATACCAACTTAAAAAATAACGGAGACGTTAACAATGGCGTTTTTCTGAAAAATAAAATTATGAGTTATTTTTTCATTATTTTTTTCATTAAATTTTAAATTATAGTTAAGCCTAAATATTTAGAAACATGGTTGGATTAGAAAGTCGTCAAATCTCATCGGGAATTTATATTCATGACAAATTAACTTCGAATTGAATCCGAGGACAAATATACTGACTACTGAGTAATACAAAAACAGGAATACAGATTTGAAATTCAATTTTAATTCAACTCTATCAGTCGTTGTGTAATTTTTGTGTCTTTTAAGACGTCCACTATCTTTCCTACTAATCTTTATTCTCCTCCCTATCATATTTTTCCTTATTAGTTTTTCTTAAGTTTCTTCTACTGTATTTCCGCGCCAATTTAATCTCAATTTTCCAAATGTAGCAAGTGATACGTTTGAAAAAGACATAATTTTTTTAATAGAGTTATCGGATTGTTATACAAACATCAGGTTGATTTTTAGAGCAGCTATTTTAGGGCAGAAAAATATATGCTAGTTGCGAATGTAAGTGAGTACGTTTATAGCCAATACATTTTTGGTGTGGGACTTCAGTCGTTTTTTTGGTTATAAAATCGTCCTTTCACCTTCATTGAAATCGGCCTGTCATCTTCACAACGGATTGCGAAACTTCTTGATTTTGTTCGACGACTTCTTTTTATATCATAGTCATATTGTCCTAGTTTGCGTCATCAAAGGTGCTTAAGAAAAACTTGTGTCTCTCAGATTTTTATTTCTGATATTCAAATTGAATATTTTACCGTTTTTTCCAATCAAATGGCATGAATCGTGTATACAAGTAATCAATTGTACCAGATGGATTTGTAAAAATTAATCAATCATCAACATTGCTTGGTGAAGAATATCTCAATGCCGATTTCCTTGCGTGTGCCTATTTTTGAGAAAGATCGATAATGTAACCGTAACTAAATTATTTTCCGATTATGTTCTATTGTTTAAAATTTATAAATAGAGTTATGATAAGAATCTTGAATCTTCCACCGAAACCATGACAAGACATTATTGTATCAGAAATACCGTTCTTACATAATTATTGAGTTATAGAATAAAGTAGTAAATATTATGATACATTTTATTTCTTATGAAATTAATCGTAACACGAAAAATATATATTGCGTGGCTTTTTTTTTTTCAGTGAAAAATATGAAAGTTCAAAAAAAATTCTTACAGTGAAAGAATCATTTTTGATGCATAATATCACACATGGATACACAAATAATTCTGATTTTGTGTCTAGTTTTCAGTTACATGATATCTGGTATGATTTCTCCAAAATATGGTGCAAACGTACAATGAATTTATCTCCTTATGCTGGATTGCATTTATTATCATAAGCCATAACCACATGATGCTGAATTGTTCCACACCTATACACAAGTCAGCCAGTAATATTTTACTACCCCCCACTTATTCAAATTATGTTGTGTCATTCGGCTTTTATCTCAGCGCATCATTGCCAGAGTCAGATCTCCTATTGTTTGTCTGATTGGAAGTAGATATCTTCTTACAGAATCATAAATGTGGTGAAAAACAGCGAAA